ATGCTGTGAGAAGATTCAGAATGAGTGGACTGGAAGATGATTGTATTTTTCCTTTACCTTCTGGTTAAACTGACAATATCTGCCTCATGCCTTATATTACCATATGACTTGTCACTGAGGAGGATGACCCTAAGAGCTTGAGTCACCAAAAAAATAAAGAAAAACCAGCTGTGTGATCTGCCACTGAGGAGATACTAATGGTGACAAATGGCCACATACGTGTCTTTAATTCTGCACATGATGCTTTCTGAATGGGGCAACGACTTATTTTGTAAAGTAGCAACAGCAGCAGAAGCTGAAAGGCATCTAAATATATTCTTCCCAGTACACAATTTATGAGGCCAGATCTTATTAGACTTATACAAAGGTAAGGCTAGAAAGGACTTCAGAGGTCACTGGATCATTACCCTTTCCCCCTCGTGCCGCACTATAAGGGAGGAAACCAGACAGCTTCAGTGACTTCCCCACCTAACTAGTGGCAAAACTAAGACTCCAACCTAGACAACCAATTTTCATCCAATATTCTTTTATACATACCATGTGGTCACCAATTATGACTTTTAAGATGCTGGTTAGTTATTCTGGATTAGAGCAGAAAATTATCAATGTACCTACCATAGAAGTGCCATCTATGTGAACTTTGGGAACTGATTCCCATAAGAATCAGGATTTCAATGACTAAGTCATTCAAAAACACCATGATGATGCAGAAAATGAGCTATGATTCATCCAATGGGTAGACTCTTCCCTGTGATGATCTATTCCCAAGATTTCTTTATGGTCAGCTGAAAAGTGAGCTGAAACTGGACCCTCTGAGGTCGCTATAAATCAGAGTGTAGCACCAGTTTACTTGTCTTCCAAAGTAGGTCCTAGTTGAGCAATAGTTGCAGGACTCCTTTCTGATTCCATTTTGGAGAGTGACTTCCAGCTGACCTATACCCTCCTGAAAGCTTAAATTGGATGTGGTTTCCAACTTCCTTTGCTATCCTAAATTACAGAGCTCTTCTGCACAGCTGGTTCAAAAGTTGTAGATTCTATACAGAGTTGTAAGAGTACCAGTGATTTATAAAATAGCTGTTTATACGTTTAAGTATAACCTACATAGATATGAAGGTTCCAATATGAGTTTGTACAACCTAGAAATGTTTTATAAAATATATTTGACATTAAAAGTCACTTCAGATTAATGTTTCTGTTATCATTCACTGTGAGGAAAAAAAAGAGAGAGGAATTAGGTATTTTTCTAATAACCATATTTTTCAGAACCCCAAATCAGGGCACATATTAAGGAAATATAATAAGAAATGAAACTTGAACTCTCAAAAGATCCAGATATTATGATTTTCAGAGACAATCATAAGCAGGATCTCATAGTAAAAGCCATTCTTTCTCAAAGTTCTTAATTATGGGAATGACTGGAACTAATCTCTTTAATTTTTACCTTAGTACTTTTTGAATCTTGCATTTCTGTTAGATCTTAGTTTTTGCAAATACATGAAAATCATTCAAATCGAATAGCACATAAAAAGTAATAAATAAATATTGATTAATAAGTAAGGAAAGGAGGAGTTCATGTAGTGGATAATAAAGGGTCCAAGAGGGGTTTTAACATAAGAGTTTTGCAAGACATTTCTCCCTGGGTCTCTTGCTTCTGCACATTTTCTGAGCATTTTTTGCACATTAATAGCTTTGTTCCTATCTTTTTGAGGGTGTTTGTATGGCTAACAGCCTTGGAAGATAGAGAAAGCATCTTCTTCCTTCAGGGCAGAGGAAAGATTTGTTTGCTCTTCAGGATAATAAAGATAAGGTTTCCTTCTAGGGTAAAGATTGGTCAGGTTTACTAACAGATCTTTTGGAAAACTGGGATTTCCTTAACTGGGGATTCCTCAGATGTGTAGTTATCCTGTACACAGCATCCACTTGGACAATGTCCCATGGAACCTGGGAGATGTGGGTGGGCAAGGGAAACTGGCGAGAACAATGTAGTAAATGTAAGAAATCTCTTTGTCCCTGACCCAGGGGTCTTATGTTTTCTGATAGTATCTATGAAACTATGGCTAACAACTTCACAGATTCAAAGACTAAAATTTCAAGGGCACCTGAGTGGCTCAGTCGGTTGTGTCTGACTTTGGTTCGGGTCATGATCTTGTGGTTTGTGAGTATGAGTCCCCATAGGGCTCTGCACTGACAGCTCAGAGCCTGGAACCTTCTTCAGATTCTTTGTCTCCCTCTCTCTCTGCCCCTTCCCTGCTCACACACTGTCTCTCACTCTCTTTCTATCTCAAAAATAAACATTTAAAACATTAAATTTCAGACCTTCCATAGTTCTTGACAAAAAGTAACATTATAAATGTTCAAATGCTACACTTTCACCCTTCTTAGCTATGACATCTACCTTAGTGATTGAAACTGAGTGGGCCTAATAAAGAATCCCATGGAAGACCGTAACTAGCCAAAGAAACAAGATTAAATATTATGCGGGTGGCTCATCTCCTAGTCAATTATGGTAATATATTTTAACTGAAGGCACCTTATCACATTTCACATTCTTGTCAAAGTAATACATAAATATGCAAATGCCACTGTTGGTGGTCTTGAATGGTAATGAGAGGGGCATTACCCAGCTAAATGCTGCCATGGGCACAACAGTTATATCCTCTGCTTTGCTAAATCCTGGGTGTTCTTGCAGTGGGTTACAGCACCCATCGACATTTCCTGTTCAGGACTATAATTTTATGTTGCCATGATGACTCTTTTACCCTGATTGTTAAACTTTTCTAAATATGGTTAGTAAGACATATAAAAGCATGGTGGCTTACAAGTTAAAACACTGAATCTGAATTCTAGAAAACGGAATCCTACATTGTTATCTCTGGCATCAGGCCATTTGGACACGTACTTCCCTGTTCCATAAAATATTGGAGATGTGAGTGTAAGGGTGAGTGCGGGAGAACAGCTGAATATAGATATGTAACTGAAATGAATAAACTACCTGGCAAGTCAGAGGAAATATTTGAACGGTGCTGTCAAAATGTACTTAACACTAGTCACATATGGCTGTTGAGTACTTGAAAGGTGGCTACTCCAAAACGTGATATGATATGGGCACCTGGGTGGCTCAGTCGGATAAGCGTCCAACTTCGGCTCAGGTCATGATCTCACGGTTCGTGGGTTCGAGCCCCGCATCGGGCTCTGTGCTAACAGCTAGCTCAGAGCCTGGAGCCTGCTTCGGATTCTGTGTCTCCCTCTCTTTCTGACCCTCCCCTGCTCACGCTGTCTCTCTCTCTCTCTCTCTCTCTCAGAAATAAATAAAACATTAAAAAAAAAACATACACACAAAATTTTGAAGACTAAATGTAAAACAAAATGTAAGTACTCATCAATACATTTTAGACTGATTACATTGTTGAGATATTAATATTGTAGGTACACTGGATTAAATAAAAACTATTGAAATTAATTTTATTTTTAAACGTTTTTTCCCAAGGTGACCAGAAAATTTTTACATTCTGTATGTAATTTTTTTTTTCTATTCTATTCTATCACTATTGAACAGAGCTATTCCAGACTGTTCTTTGTCATCATCTACCTTAGTAACAAGAACTAAGTGGCCTATACGGAATTTTAGGGCTGACCCAATAGTTATAAACTAAATGGTGTCAACTGTTATACACTAAATGAAAGAATTAAATCACTTGAAGGCTTTTAAATAGACCACAAGTTTCTTGAGGGCAAAGGTCATATATTGTCATAACCTTTACTTTTCCCTACTGACATGATTAGGCTCTCACTTAGCTCAATAATTTTTGCCAGTTGAATGAGTAATAAGAAAATCCAGGGGGAAAAAAACCTGCAAGTGCAGTGGTTCAATATATGAAGAGACTGTGCATATTAATTCTGAACAGGATGCCTGTATATCGCTTCTCTTAGCAGTCATTTATACTCTTCATCTAAGAAGGCAGACTTCCTGTACAATTTATCTTCTAATAAGTCTCACCACCTCTCTAGAGATATGGCCTGCAATGCTTGTTTTTCTTATGCATTATCTTCTTCTTTCAGAACATACAGAGCAGTCATGGGGGTTAATTAAAGTGGGACTCACTTGTGCACAGATGAGTAAGTTAGTGGATACGTAAGCCATAGAATTTTCAAATTATCTTAAGATCATGGCCTTGTAAAAGCACTCAATATTTTGTGTGTATAGAGACATAGAACATCCTAATAGAGAGGACAAAGCCTCTCAAAGAATCTCTTTGATGTCCTTGCTCTGTCTCCATACATTACTTCATTTGCTGGTAAGGAGTGATACAGTGAAAACGAAGCAATATTCCTAAAATTTAAGGTCCGTGTCCATTAGCACCCCTACATGTTGCAGCAGAAACTAATGGCTGGCATGTGAAAGGTAGACAGGGATGAAAGGACCAGTGGTAGGCTAACACATAATAAACATATTTGGTGTGTTTTTTTTTAGGTGCAGTGAATATTGATGCTGGTAGACGAAGGGCGATTGCCACACATCACTTTTAAATAATAGTTTCGTGTATTTATTGTGCTAGGAAATCTATATTATAAATTAGAGAAATTTTGGAGGGGAGATGTTATTCTTGTTTTATAATTAAAAATAAACTAAGTCTGAGAGAGATTAAGCTACCTCCTTAGGGACGTATTAATACTTGTCAGTGAAAGAGTCAGAATTTGAACCCATCTAGTCTAACTGCAAAACCCCATGCTCTTTCTAGTTAACCAATGCAACCTCCTCTCTGATGTAACAATGAAATCATTATGATAATGATAGAGGAAAAACACAAAGAGCATTGGGTATTATCCTTATCATCTTCCTATTTCTTGCCTTCCTCCATCTTTCCTTTCTCTTGCTCTCTTTCAGGCCGTTTTCCTGTTTGTCTCCCTCTCTCTTCCCCTTCCCACCACTCTCTGCACTTTCTTACTCTCCTTTCCCTTCTCCTTCCCTCCCTAGCAACTCTCCTTTTCTTAGTTCCTCTCCGTTTTCATTTTCCTCTTTTCCACTTTTGGAGACCTCAGCTTCAGTCCTGCCAGTACTGGTCCTCAGAGGACCCTGCTGTCTGGCTACTGGAAAAATGCAAATGGCGATTGTAATAACTGAAGAGGCAACTATAACCCCAAATTTCTTCAGAGACGTGAAGGCTTTTCCACTGAATCCCATGAATATTCTACCAGCTTTGAGCCCTAGAATGTTACAGCTTGGAGCTTCCCTAGCCTGATAGCCCCATTGCATACCAAATGGAACTTCAGCCAAAGACAGTGACTACCCAAAGGCGATCAAAATTAGTGGTGAAGAATCCTGGAGTTCTCATTTTCGTTTCTAGGAAGCTGTATGGAAAATTCAATAGGAATGTGAAAATGCAAACCTACTGACTAGCACCGAGTGAGGCCTGGAAAGGTGAAGTTCATTTTCTCACCACGTAAAGTTGTTGAGAAGATAAATGACATAATGCCAGTAAAATTGCTCAGAGCTCTTACAGACAGAAGCTTGATTTAAATGTGAGACAGTACTTATTGTCTGAATATTAAAGAACCACCTTTCACAGCCTCAAGCCAAGCCTGAAGAAAAGAATTGGGAATTGTTGGACTACACATCATTTTACGCCATTGAACTCAGATGATAAGAAGACCTCTCTTTATATATAATAAATGAGTATTGAATGGATGCCAAGCAGATGTCAGTTTTACCATTGTTTCTGCTCAATAGGAAAGCTCTTCTAGGTAAGTATAGAAGGTAGTGCCTGGACCCTTATAGACGCGGTAGATATATTTCAGTCTTGCCCTTCCTCTCATTGATTCCCCAGCTGCCCCTAAAAGAAAGTTTATTGCTGCAATCTAATCTGACTCACAGCTAGGCTCATCCTTTTATTCCAAAGTATACTTCAGTTGAAAGAGGTCTCTTGTTTTAGAGGAAAGGTGCTGGAGTAAGAGACAGAGCTGGATCCCGTACATGGTTGTCACCCTAACTAGCCAAGTGATTTGTACAAACCGTAGAACCATTTGCTTCCCTACTTTCTCATCTGTAAAATGCAGCAAATATTGGCATCGATCTCCAGAAATAAATATTAACAGAGATAATGTACATGAAGTTGTGTGCTCAGATTTTGGCACGCTGTGAGGCCCCGTAAATATTAGCTCTTATTATTGTTTTTGTTTAGATAAAAGTTTGTCTTAAGGTGTTAGGATTTACACTGTCAATATTTCTGCCTTTTGAAAAGCAGCTTCAGAAAATTGTGTTTATCACTCAACAGATCACAGCTCTGTGAACTGGAATTGTGTTTCAAAAGAACAGATTGATGCCTCACACACAGATGTCTTTCCCCATTCCCAAACCAACAGGGTAAAATGTTTTACAGACTGGATGCTTGGCACAGAGCAGAATTCTGAAATAAAACTCCTATTGTTTTTCTTCTCTTCTCTTCTCTTCTCTTCTCTTCTCTTCTCTTCTCTTCTCTTCCCCTTCCCTCCCTTCCTTTCCCTTCCCTTCCTTCCCTTTTCTCCTTTCCCTTCCCCTCCTCCTCCTTCTTCTTTCTTCTTTTCTTCTTCTTCTTCTTCTTCTTCTTCTTCTTCTTCTTCTTCTTCTTCTTCTTCTTCTTCTTTCTCCTTCTCCTTCTCCTTCTTCTTTCTTTCTTTCTTTCTTTCTTTCTTTCTTTCTTTCTTTCTTTCTTTCTTTCAAGGGAATTCCAGCCTTATTTATTTTCTTCCATGGGAGGGAAAAAAAAGGAGCACATCTGTTTGCAATAGTGAATTGAAAGGTCTAAAAATAAATATGTTTTAAAGAAAAGAAACAAAACTTTGTTGGCACTCTAAATCCAATCGACACAGGGAAATGTTTGTGTTAGAGAGGTTTGGCTTCTTTTAAAAAAGAAAAAAAGAGCAAATAATGTAGAATTATACAGTTCTAGTTAAGTGGTTTACCACATAAAAATGTGTTATTTTTACTCATCTGGTAAATAGTTTGAACCATGACATCATGTCTTAACATTTATATTTCAATTCTGAATCTACCCGGCATCTGTCCTTTGTTTTGAGAAAAGATTGGTGAGATATAAAAATTACTTCTTTGCTCTCATAATCAAAAATTAGAAAGTAAAAACCAAAGTGCAGGTAAGATATTTGTAGTTTGTGTTGGCTCTGCTCTTAGGAAATTCCATTGCCAGCTGTGGTGAAAAGTGCTTTATTTGGTTACATATTTTGGATTGTGTCTTCCCCTTTTTTTTCACTTCACATCAAAAATAAAAATCATCCATTGTAAAATAGGCTTAGAAATACTGCTGTGACCATCTCACAGAGAAGGGGACAATCCTGCCAAATGAGTTACATGGCAGTTGTCTCTTGGGAAGCCCAGATAAACTAAGATTAGGGAGGAACAGTGGCAGGGGAGTGATTAGGGTTGACAAGTAAAAGGGAGCGTAGAGGAACTGAAATAGAAAACAGATGGAGTAGATAAATATGGAAGGGCTGCTGGGGTATCTTGAAAGACAAACATTGGTTGCTCAGAAGAAATTGAGCTAGAAAATGCTAGAAAATGAGTTACTGACAGGAATTTGTTCAGGCAAAGAGAAGGAGCCCAGGAAAGAGAGAGCTGGGTTAAGAAGGATTTCTGTAGGTAAGGGGACAGGCTTGCTAGCTACAATCCCTTCTAAAAACAAAACAAAACAAAACAAAAAAACTGGAAACAAACAAACAAACAAACAATGACACAGAAACAATAGCCAAGTGTCTGGCTTGCTTGGTGAACCCAAGAAGTAAAATACACTGTTTTATTTGGATCAAAGGTATATACTTAAATGTCATTTTCATATCCTTAGTTAATTAAATTGTATTCACACTGGAGACAGTGTTTTTAGGAAAGTAATCTGCAGCAGCATGAAATGCTGGGAAGATAATTATGAATACTGAGCCCATGTGTAGTGGATCAAGCTAAATTAGGCTTTATAGTTTCATTTTACCTATCTAGAAATGGGTAAATGCATTACATACAACACATCACATACATAAGTATGCTTAAGTGTCTGGGAATACAAAGCCCTTGTTTTGTAATAAGGTATATTAGGCTGTCCCTGAAGTAATCTTATAAATAACTCTAGGCATTGCCTAATATTCCAAGCTTTCTACCTTCTCCCCCAATCAAAATTCACTGGGTTACACTCATTTGAGCTTGCAAGAGGATATACAAGATATTTTAAAATGCTATTTCCAGTGGGTTAGTGTGCTGAAGGCCATGGGGATGATCATGCATACTTTAATAGTCCTTTGGAAATCCAAAACTCCCCTAGAATGGTAGCACAACTTGAAATATATCTTCTGTTAGTTTTTAGTTTTTGATACTGTGATTTGGACATCAAAAATTTCAGTTCAAATAATCACTCAAAGAGCTATCCATATTTACTATCTCCACTTTCCCCCTGCTATGCACTCTATCTCTCTCAAATCAGCTAGCTCACTCCTTCAAACTGGCCTTTTGAAGGTCACCTGTTTTCAAATTTTCATTTCTCATCTTACTTGTCAACTTATCAACATTTGCCACAGTTTTGACATTAAAAAAAAAAAACCTCTTTGATTCTGTAAATCACTCTCCATGATTTTCTTCTACCCCTTTGATTCCTTCTTCTCACTATCTTTGGGTGGGGGTGAGGAATCTTCCTTATAACATAAGTATTTGAATTCTTCAAAACTCTCTATTACCATCTTTTTCGTCTGTCTCTACATTTCCTCCCTGAATGAGCACCAGCCACAGCCATGACTTCATTTATGATACAAAGTTACCTCTTCAACCCAGATCCCTTTCTGAGTCTCTAGCATATATATCCAACTATCAACATTTGTACTTTAATTAAACGATCTAATGATATTCTTAGAATTCCCATCTTAGTAAGCGACACCGGCATTTATCTGCTTGCTCACTCAGAAACCAGGATGCCAGCTTTGCAACCCTCTTCTTCTCCATACACTCTTTCATCAAGGCCTGTTAAGAATCTTCCAGTATAAGTTGTGAATCTGTCAATTTTTTCCTCTATATCTGCTGCTGCCTCCCTAACCCGAACTACCTACATCTCTCATCCTGGTTTCCTTCAAGAGTTTTTTAAATGATGTACCTTCACCTGTTATTTGTTGTTCTTGTTATTTCCAACCTATTCTCCAAATAGTTATTTAAGAACTATTTTTTTTTTTTAAAGACAGATCTAATCTTATCACTCTGCCTCTTAAAACTCTTCTCTATCTCCCCCTGGCTCTCAGATTACAGGTCTATTGGACTTAATATAAAACTAACACTCCTTATTAAGGTCCTAAGGCCCTGCGTGATCTCTTCCTAGTTTACCTTGAAGGCCTCATATCCTGATAATCTCTGACTTTCTCACCAGTGCTTCATCCTTGGGGACCAATGTTTTTGTTGCTTGACTCTCCAAATTCTTGCCTTAAGACAGAGACTCACATTTAACCCTCTGCTTTCATCAATTGACCATGACATGATGAATTCCTCCTCATTCTTTAGAGTTAATTTTTAAATATAGTATCCTCAGGGAAACTGCACTGTTTACTCATACCAATTTTAAGCTAACTTGTTTTACTTTTTCAGTATATCTAAGTAGTTTGCTTCATTGCTTTTATAACAATTATATTGAAATAATTTATTGTGCAATAATGTGTTTACTTTCTGTGTCCCTACTGAAATCCGTACTAAGAGTTGGATCTGAGCTTTTCTTATTCACCACCATCTCCCCAGGTCTATATTTTTCTATATCTCTCCTGCATCTTTAAAACTATATTTTCACTACTACATCTGGAATCATGGCTTTTTGCAGAAGGTCACAATAGATGGCTTTTAAATTAATAAATAAATGTATAAATGAATGCATGAATGAGTAAAATTATCTTCATGATGCCTAAAAAATGATAGGTTAGGAGTTACAAAGCACAACAGTCTTTAACTTATTCATGGGTGTGAATAAGAATGTGATGGAATCATATTGATTGTATTGTTTGTTTGATTACCTGTAAGGGGGAAAAAAAAAGATTTTGAGCATCAACTAAATTAGTACTCTTCTACATCACTATCAAGAAACCAGCACAATCTTTGGAAAGCAGTTGGCATTGGGTATTAAGAAAAATGCAAAAAATTACCCTCACTTTTTCTCAGGAATCCTACTTATAAGCTTCCTTTCAACAATGAAATTCATAGAATTTTATTTCATAAAATTAAAATTTGGAAAGAATCCAAATGTCCAAAAATAAGGCACTGGTTAAAAAGATTGTGAAAAAAAAAAAAGATTGTGGCACATTTATTCAATGGCATAAAATGAAAAATGAATACTTAAATACATACTCATATATGTATACACACACACACACACACACAAGTACTATGGCTACAACTTTTGAAAATATGCACATGAAAAAAAGTCAAACATATTCACACAAAGGATTAGGGTTGGTTGATTAAAATGGTAGAGAGGTTAAAAGAGATTATTTCATTCTATTTGTTAAACTCTGATATATTATTCCTGTGACAGGGTTTCTTTTATAAATCTGTTTACTTTTCAACCCAGTAGTTCACTGTTATCTGTCTTCAACTTTAATTTCTTCTAACTTCAGGAGCACCTGGTTGGCTGAGTCGGTTAAGCATCTAGCTCTTGGTGTCAGCTCAGGTCATGATCTCCTGGTTTTGTGAGTTCGAGCCCCACATCAGGCTCTGTGCTAACAGTGCAGAGTCTGCTTGGGATTCCCCCTCACTTTCTCTCTCTCTCTCTCTCTCGATAAACAAACTTTAAAATAAATAAATAATTTTTTCTAACTTCATAGGTCACATGGCAGAAACAAAAGTTACAATCTGTCTCTATTCTAACATGCATCACCTTCTGCACTTTGCTGATAAAACCGGGTGTGTTGCCCTAGATCCTGATAAACATTCTAATGGAAGCATTAGAAAGCATGATAGACCAAAAAAGAATGTTTATGCCCTTGAATAATGAGAACAATACAAACTGAAGTCGGACAGGAAACTGTTTTTTAGGAGGCAGAATCTTTGCTAAGATGGTTCAGGATTTCACAAGAAATTTTGAGTATCTGCATTTCATTTTTTTTTCTCTTAATGTCAACACTTTTCAAGATATTTTCTAAAAAAGTTGAGAATTTGATGAACCCATGTAACCCATATACAATTAAACGGATTAAGACTGATACATGAGGTAGAACTTCACAGAGCTTTTTTTGTTTTACTTAAAGTGGGATATGTTTTCTTCTAAAATTAAAGATATTCATGTTCTCTTTTAACACAGAATTGAAGCCACTTCTGAGATTTTAATTCAAACACTAATGGTTACACAAGAAACAGGAAAAGGCATTTAAAAATTCGGGGAAGAGGAATATATTTCATTTGCCTCCTATACTTTGATGAGTCAGGCAGAATTTTACCTGAAAAAAAAATTTAAAGGTCATGTTTAACATTCAGATATAATAGGGCATTTCCCCTCTTTAAGGATACTTTTTAACGAACATTTGAACTAAAAGTTCTTGCTTAAAATTTTCTTTTAAATTATGATGGCAATTTTCATGTAAGTGAGAGATTGATAACTATTTTGGTTCTGTTTTTGATGATTTTTTTTTTTAATTGGCAAGATTTCCAGGAAATGTCAAGCCTTTGTCCTTCTCATTTGTCAGTCTGCCCCGGGGTAGACTTTTTCTTCTTTAAATATTCATTGGCTTAAAATGTTAAGAAAATTACTCATAGCGTCTTGGAAAGTTTTTTTTTTTTTTCTCCCCTCCCCTTCATTCTCATTTGACACAGCCCGGAATTCTTAGGAAGTGCCTGCTGCTGAAGCCAGATTGACCCTAATGAGGCACATTTTCTTCTGCAAGGGCATCCAGTCTTGCAAAGGCATTCTTCATCGTTTGTTTAAGGCAAGTTTATCCACTTTCAGACCAAGCCAGAATGCACATAACATTTTATGTGTTTAGTGTAAGTAAGAGGAGGAGCTGCCTGGTATGTGTGAGACATCTAAGGAACACATCCATTTGGATTTATAGCAATATATTTTCTAGAACTGCTGGTTCAGTGAACTCAGGAGAGTGCTAGGTGTGCAGGGTGATTACATGGGTTCCATACTGGATTGAGGTCCCCAGAGCACAAAGGGCTCTAACTGACACTCCTAAGGCAGTGGGGGATGGTGGGGGATTTTTTAAAACTCAGAGAAAATTCTCTCAAGCAGAGGCAAGCTGATTCTTCACACTGAGATAGTATTTGATTATTCACAGCAGTGAAATTCCTGGATTTAGATGAGAAATTGGATTATAAACTGCCTCCAGGCAGGTAGAAGCAGCTTTAATCAGTTGAGCCAGATGCTTCCATCCCAGAGGGATAACCACTAAACAAATTAGAAAGGGAAGTTCATTGTCCAGGCTGGCCTCTTCTGTGTCACGTGAACCTCAATATATATATTTTCATTAGCTAGTTGTCTGGGGATCAAGAGCAATACCAAGAGAATTGGCCCAAGCTAAGCCCAAGAACAAAAGTTTATTTGGCAACATTGGGTATCGGGAGCCTAAATTCATTAAAAAATTGTTTAAGAATATATTCTGTGAGAAAATGTGTGAATCTTAATGATTTTATGATTCCGTCAACATACAGAAAATAAGTTCTTAGCAGGCAAAAAAAAAATCTGCCTTTAAAACAGTGACCTATTTTATATATTTTCTAGAGACATTTTATGAGTTTTCAGAGTTTTCCTGGTGTATTGTCAGAACTCTAATAAAAACACAAGTGCTCCAGATGTCCTACGATTTGCCTGAAAATTTTAAATGGAAAAAAAAATTATAAAGAAGGAAAGAACAATGAAAGCCATTGGTATTTGTATAAAATATTAGTTTCATCTGTCCAAGGCTTCAAAAGATTTCAAAGCTTGTTTTGTGTGCATGTATGTGAACAGTTTGTAATGAAATTTAAGAATCTTCCTGAATTAAGTAGAAATAATAGTTAAGTCTCTTTAAGAGTTAAATTATTATTATTGTTTTGGTCAGGAAAACCAGTTATAGGTTTTTTCCCACTCACAAACAAAATACCAAACCTGAGTCTCACCTTTTCTCTTGACCTTTTACATCGATAAAGAGACAAACATTTTGGGCACAATATTTGTCATTTTCAAAGTCAAGTATACTCTTCACAAAGCCCTCTAACCTAGAAAGAAAAGAACGATCAATTTAGTGTGTGCTATAGGGATTTAGTATAGTTTTTGTCCTTGCTTGTTATGTTTTATTTAGTTTTCTTAATTTTTCCTGTAGAGTACACATTTGCAGTAGGAAATAAATGAACTCTGAATTACTGTGGTAGCAAATGTTAACTACTTGTTGATTACACAATGAATTAAAAGGAACAGTTGAAAACTTTTTGAAGTTAATCCTTATAATTTGGAATAATAAAATTTTTGCCTCATCTTTCTCAATAGCTAGCACACACTCTTATATGCACACATCTCTTTCCCATTCTTTTATTCTCAAGATTTCCTAGTATCAGATGATGACACCCGGGAAAGGAACAGTGATTGTGAGTTCAGCAAGCCGTCCCAGTGAGGTTAAAAGTCACTTTTAACACAGTCCTAAGGAAAACAGAGTTGTCAATTTTGATCTAATGTTTGTAGTCTGCCATCAATGACACAATGACACACAATGCCATTTCTGTGTCATTTTGGACAAGCCACTAAGATTTTCTAGGGCTTCACAGCTTTTTTTACCTGCAAGTAGGGTGTTCGATTAGATTATTTGTTTCAAGCCTTTGTATTTTAAGACAAGGAAGCAGAATATATACAACCGATACAGTCAGGAGTTTTATCTGGGAGGGTTCCATGGGTTAGGATGTATGGGATGCAAGTTACTTATCTTTAACTTCTCTTCACACTTACTTTGACCTCTGAGGGATTTCTTCGGATCACAGTTTGAAAGCTTCCAGGGATGGATAATCTCCAAGGCCCTTTCTACCCATTATATTCTGTCATTATAGATGTTGTTCTGAAAGGATTTAAGAATTTAGAATTTAGAGCTCAGATGGACCTTAGAGTTTATTTGGTTCAGTTACTTCATTTTGAAGATATTAAAGCTAAACCACTTTTACCAAGTCCCCAGCTGTATCCACTAAAGTGTGCATCTTCAAAACACACTGTTAGGAGATTAACCATAATCAGTTCCCTAAAATTTCTGTGGTGAAAGGAAGTGGACATTACCCACACACCCTATCTGCAGAAACTGTCCAAGTTTCTTTTATCCCTAGGCTCATGGCTTAGGGTCCTGTTAAGGGCCAGAACATGGAGGATAAATCTGAGAAACCCACGACCTGAATGACTTGAAGAAAATCGATTTATCCTGTGTCTCCTCTGAGGTTTTCCTTCTGCTTAGGGGTAAAGTGTTAAACATCCAGACTGAACTGGGTCCCAGTTCTAGGCTTTCACATTTTATACGCATTTGGATCCTTTGTAACAAAGGTCATTATTGAAATCATTGTGAGTTATTTCAGAATATTCTATGTGTATAAAAGGTATACATTTCCCTTTTAGACTTCCCGATATGGTACTACTCTCTTGAGAACAAAGTCTGAGACTACAGAGAGGAAGGACTGTGTGAACTTCTACTGCTGAGGAGCTAAGGCAAAAAACAAAAATCAGTTACTTTGGTGAGCTTTCCTAGAATCTTGCCCGGTGTTAGAAATAGTTCTGCAACCTACATAGCACTTGTAAACTATGTACATGTGAGATCTTCATCCCTGAATACAACGCTTTAAACTGGGAAACTAAAAAACTAAGTTTTTAATCTCAGTCCCAACCGTGCTGTGTGGTCTTGGGCAAATCAATTAACTTTTATCAGCTTACTTATACATAAAATCAATATGCTAAAATTTGCTATCTGCTGGAGTTAAGGCAATTCTGTGAGAATAAAAAATAGATAGATGTTTTTAAAAAGATTCAAACCCTATAACCAAAAAAGATATTACTTTGAAGAAATCTCATGTGCAAAGAATTTCATGATTACTGGCAAGGAATGGTGAATTCATCTGTCATGACTGCCAGTAAGCAGTTTCTATTTTTATTTTTTGGAGGACATGATAAGATGTAACAATAAACATGGAACAGAGTGGCCCCAGGGAGAAAATTGCATTTCAAACAGCTCCTTCTGGACTCGCTAATGGTAAGCAAATATTATTTCAGTGGAGATTGACTATAAAATTAGAGATAGTTTGAAAAAAAGTATTTAACCCTTAAGAAGAATACATTTATTACATTTCCAGGAGTGTTTTAGGAAATTTTCTAGTCAGAATAGTGAGATGCTGGTATCATTTTGTTTTCCTTGGCATACTATACTAACGTCTTCATGAGGTCTCTTCAAAAATGAAGACTTAGTCATCTTTCACCTTGCAGACTGTTTTTACACATATACCACGTCAAGCAATTAGGTGTTCACTTGATGCTCACTCATTGGAATTTTGGCATATAATATTAACCTAATTGTGGCAAAGCAGTGGGGGGAATGAACAGAGCCATTTGATAAATTTGGTCAGGGCATGGCTTTGACAGGTAGAACATGTGAACATTGCTTTTTGGTCAATAGTAGAATTACCTTGTCCTTGTTCAGAAAGGGAAAAGAGAAGGAAGAAAAAAGACTGTTGAGCTTTTACACACATTATTTTCTTAGGTAATGTATTATGAAAGAGTCTTTCTCAAGTGCTAATGTATAAAAATTATTCTGTTGCAAATTTACTGAGGGAATAGTACTTAAGTTACTTATGTCTAGTCCCAATTAGAATCAGCCATAATTTTAACACTCTGGTCACCACCACCTAACAGTCTTATAATAAATCCCTGTTTTTTAAGTTAGTTTCCAAATTTTTTTTTAATGTTTTATTTATTTCTAGGAGAGAGAGAGAGAGACAACGTGAGCAGGGAAGGGTCAGAGAGAGAGGGAATCACAGACTCTGAAACAGGCTCCAGGCTCTGAGCTGGCAGTCAGCACAGAGCCCGACGCAGGCCCGAACCCACCAACCGCGAGATCATGACCTAAGCGAAAGTCGGACGCTTAACCGACTAAGCCACCCAGGTGCCCCTTAAGTTAGTTTCTATCATTTACAAAACAAATGATAACTGACTAAAACAATGGGATTTCATGAAAGATTTCTTTTGACAATGGAAATAAAATTTTTTCATAATTAGCTAATCTAGTTTATTGTTTGCATTCTATAAAGAAATAAACTAAGGCCCTGATAATTAAAATGATTTGTCCAAGTTCTCATCCAAGTTCTTACAAAGTTCTATTTACTGATGGAATCAAAATCAGAACTTGAACTTCTATCTTATCTTATCTTATCTTATCTTATCTTATCTTATCTGAAGAGAAAGCATGCAAGCAGGGTAAAGGAGCAGAGGAAGAGAGAGAATCTTAAGCAGGCTCCATGCTCAGCACAGAGCCTGACCCGGGACTCAATCATATGACCCTGGGGTCATAAGGACCTGACAAAAAATTGAGAGTCTTACATTCAACCAACTAAGCCACCTGGGTGTCCAAATCTTGAACTTTTAATAACTCTCCCTCAGGCTTAAACATACTTTCCCTTAACAAGTCAAAATTAACAAACTAGTCTGCTGGGAGCCACACTGGCCTCGCTGGATGACAGTCACAGTGAGGAAATGGTAGTGTTTGCACATCTCCTGCCATGATAAAGGAAAACTGGTATCTCCTTCTGCTACTTCTGGCTCATGTTGGAAATGAGGCTGCTGGTATTGACCAGGCCTCACAATATTCCAGATCAGACCAATATTCCCAACACAGATAGCTCATAAGGAAAAGCACGTTCCTGCCTTTTCCAAAGAGATTTCAGATGAAAACATTGTGGATGATTATTAAAAGGCTCTTCCTAAGGGCCTTGCAGATCCAAGACTTACATAATAAAGGGGGCTTGAGTCTGGCCCTGAGACAAAGAGCCTAATTTAGAGTTAAGGGCAGGTATCCACCCTCCACCCAATTGTTTCTGCTTGGAGCAATGGCCGCCCCCCTCCCAAGGCATTTGTTATCAAGTATTTGGAGTGACTTATCCTGGCCTTGAATATGCTGATTGCTCCCTGTGAAGGAACCTATTGAGGAACTCCTTGTTTTCTGATTATGGGAGCAAAGGTGTTTCCTGAAAGACCTGTTTGACCCCAGCTCACAGAGAAGTAACTTCACCCTTTTATACTAAAAGCATTGTCTGATATGCTAAAGATACCTTCATCCCCATAGGATAAGCATCTAAATCACCTATCTCACTACTGATAAAGGTTATGCAGAAGTCTTCTACACATCTATGTTCTGGGAAATTCTTACATATCAAAGAAGTTTGTTATCAGAAATCATTGTCTAAGGCAAATGCCACTTCTGTGCCATCCCCTAAACACTTAATGATAAAATAAAGTTGAGCCCCAGTCAGAGCGGAGATGCCTGCCTGGTGACCAGAAAGACTCTCAGGGCTTTGTCACCCCTCCCTCGCCGGCACCGTCCATCCTTCAGGGACCCCTGGACCCCGGCCAGAGCTAACCTCCGACACTAGTCTCTTAACTTGGAAATTTATGAAATAGTTACATAAAGGGGAATAAATATGGCCTCAGCAGTAGGAAGTTGAAAAGTGAAACCACATAGAGATCCCAAAGAAATCTACATGATTGCTTTGGAGAATCTAGTATTTCTTAGCCAGTAATGGTGAAGCCAGTTCACGCCAGGGGAACATGAATTTGAACCCTCTCAGAGTTCAGTTTTTAGGTGTAAGGGTGTGGATACCTCTACATCCATTCCACAGAGATGTAGGGGTGGGATGATCAGAAAACTTTTGTAAACTATGGCCTTGACAGAGAGGTACTTATATAAATAAAATTACAACCTAAAATAACAAAAGCACCTAAAATTACATTTTCTGATCTGCTCTTCCTATTCTTCCCCTGATTTGTCTCATATATGGGTCTTTTTGTTTTTTCCAAATAATGACTTCTTAGAGAGGGCTTTCCTGTTTCTCTACTTAAATACAGCCTCCCTCCTTACCTCTGTCATTTTCTAACAAATTACCATGTTTATTCATTAGAAGCAATGCAATGACCAAATCTAAAGACTCTAAATTATTTTCTTATTTGTTTATAATTTGTCAATCTTCACTACACTTTAGTTTCTAGAAAGGGAAAACCTACCCTATATTATATATGACTGTATTCCCAAGCACATAATATGTGCTTCTTGAATGAATGAGGGAAAAAATGAAGACAATGTAGACCATAGTGGTTAGTGATTTCTTCAATTATGCATAACAGGATAACACTGAGGTCTAGAACTATGGTTCCTATTTGGTAGTCCTCTGCTCTTTCTGCTATATTATACAGTGCTTCTCTTCTGTATATCTCTCTCTATCTATCTCTATCTCTATCTATCTATCTATCTATCTATCATCTATCTTTTCATACTTGTACCTATGTCCATCAGTCAGGCAGCCAAAAACATTCAAGTTTCCTTTCCAGTGAAACTCTAAAAGTACTAGGTGGCTTAGTCGGTGGAACATCCTACTTCAGCTTAGGTCATGATCAAACCCCGCAGTGATTTTGCTGCTGTCAGCACTGCACCTGCTCTGAATCCTCTGTCCTTCTCTCTCTCTGCCCTCCCCAGCTCATATTTACTCTCTCTCACAATAAATAAACAATAAAAAATTATAAAAGTACAATCAATACTGCCCACCTAATGATTTAAAACAAGAAAACAAATTTAAGAGAAACAAACAAATCTGGAATGAGTTCAGATGAAAAACAAGTAATTTAGGTGCTAGAGAGAATGATTTATGAGGAGAGAATAAGAGAACCAAAAAAAAGCAGAGTAGAGTCTACTTACTAACTGTTACAGAACACTGATGAAACACAGAGGACAGGGGAAAAAACGTGTACCGTCAAACAGAACAGTGCAACGCTACTAATCCATATACATAAGTACTCTCTCATGAAAACACTTGCAATATTAGATTTCTTAGCACCAATTTTATAGTATATGTGAATATCTATGCTGAAATTGACCATCACCCTTGACACAAAGGAGAATAGCAGATGCTAAATATAATTTCTGGTATAAAGGCCCTCATTTCCATGTTGAATTTACTCAAATAGTGTTTAATTTACAAAGAGTTCCCATTCCCTGCAGGGTGCCTCACAAAATAAAGGAGAGCTACTGTAAGTCTAATATAAAGAAGAAAAAAAAAAACCCCGAAAAACTAAACTAGGCTTGACACCAAGGCAATTTTCCTGGAAGTGAACCTACTGAATTGTGAAATAATCTTCCAAGTGAAGTAATTATGTCTAATTTTCAAAGGAACAAAGTTGGCTCTTAGTGTTTTGAGAACTTTTTCCTTCTCGGAAAGTTTTCAAAATTCCAAGCCAACATCTTATTTGCACCAATGACTTCTAGGAGAACTTTCACCTTTCTACTAATTCCAAGGACAAAAGGACTTGAAGAGGAAATGGTGAGGCAGAGTTGGTTTCAAAAATCATTTTCCCTCTTCTAGTGGAGAAGCCCATTGATCTTTTGGAAAAGGAATGAGGAAAAGAAAGGAAATGTGTGTCTTTTATTTAAAAGTGTTAGTCACATGTAAGATCTTTTAAAAATGTTATTCATTTTTCATTGTTTCTTTATTTTTAAAAAGATGAAACTAGGAGAATTTATATATGCTACAATGGGATAATCAGGATTGTTAATTTTATGCACACTATTTTCAGTGAACTCCTATGGAAAGGTACTAAAACAGTGTAGAACCCACCTTGTACAGAATTTTTAAAAAGAATCGTGAGAGCCACTTGAAAATTGTTTTAAGTTCAACAGTTCCCTGCTGTAATTTTGTCAGACACAGATGAGGAAACTGTGAAGTTAATATTTGGAAACCTTAAGAGACTTACTTATATTGTTATTCCTTCCCCAACTGTTCATTTTAAAAATATTTATTACAGAGCAAAGATAAAAATGAGGTCCTATGTGAATCATTTAGAATCAAGTTTCCTCATTTGTTTACAGAACAGAGTAGAAAACAGGGCACCTGGGGCTTGTTCAAGTATTGTTGTTCCTTCTGGGCATTCCGCTTTCGGCTTCTCAGTCTCCTACCTTATTAAAAAAGGCAAATCATTCAACTAGTATTTATTGGG